TACTAATTTTTTTCTCGAATACAACACTTATATGTCACTTATTGACGTATGATATGTATTAAGAATTAAAGCTGCCGCAAACCTGGCAATAACTTCTTTATTCTGCACCTGCTGCCTTTCTCATTTTAAAATATACATAGATGTTTTATTACTCACTAACAATTTGACTTTCAAATTTAACCAAAATATTCAGTATTGAGTTATATTATTTTACAATTGGTAATCTTAGATTAACAATGGATAAAAATAAAAACAAAAATTCTTTTATTTCAAATTTAGATAAACCAAAGATTACTTAAAATTATAATTTGTTTTCTTAATATATTACCTTCTTATAATCTAAAATTTTTAAATTGGTAAAAAAAAATACTGTAGTGAGCAAACAGAGTTTAACGATAATATTTCATGTATATGTGTATAAAGAACGAGCGTTTTCAATTTTTTAAATGTATAAATGGCCGATACATATTATAATACATAATGAACTGTTGTTTTAATGCGCGTGAAATAGACTTGTAGAAATAAAACAAAAAAATCGTTTAGAAAAATTGCACTATAGACTGATATCATATACTATGTGTGCGATAATAATATTATAATACTCGATAAAAGTAATTGGTTTATTAATCTTAAATTTGAAACGTATATTCAAACTAGTTATTTGACGTTTAAATACAAATTCAAATTCATATCCAATTTTAATTTCAAATAACTTGTATTTGTATTTTTATATTTAATATTTTTTACTGACTTGTGAATTAAAACGATAGCTGCACGAAGTGGTGACGTGAGTTTTTGTTCGAGGTGCGTGTACAGAGACTTTTTAAAATATCACTTCAGCTGGTGCACCAAAACTAGTTTAAAACATAAAAATATACGACTATTAATGTTATTATAATATTATTCAACCAGTGTTATCGACCTCGACACTTTATCATAATTACTCGTATAAATAGACGTGATATAAAAACGTGTATACTGTACATCTTTAACATTGATTGTGTTGTAGTGTTAAAATGTCGTAAAATTATGTTTAATAGTATTGCAATTTGCACAAATTTAAATTAATAGTATTGGCGAATAGCGAATAATATGTTACAACCAGATAAACAAATTTTCAATATTAAACTGCTATATTATTATAATATTATTTTCGATTTTCATCCATTCGTATTATGAATAGGTAGTCACGTTTCATACCAGTACACTTTTTTTTACATTCGGCATCTATCCAGAGAACAATTGTGCTCGAAAACAAAGAACCAATTTTTTTAAGTTGCGCCGCCAAACCAATGTGCTGAAAATTAAAGTGACATACCTATGTAGTGTATTTACCCTCGAAGCTCAGAAATTTTAAAAACCTGAATAAAACTTGTATGGAAATAGTTTTTGAGTGCTTAAGTATCAAAAAACGGTGCAAAAAAATTAATTTTTATCATGTTACGTTTTTTAATTTTATTTTTCTTGATTGTTTCAGGTGGTTAACATTTTTCTTACGATATATAACAATATCTTATATTGATGTTGTTGATATACATGATATTGTTATTACGTTAGATTTTGTTGCATTTTTATTATTAGAAGCACTAATTTGAATATATGCCAAAGCCAAATCAATAGCCAGTACAATATTTATTATATTGATAATATAATATTTCAATCAAATCATTTTTATTCAACGGTTAATATAATAATAATATTTTTATATTAAAATAGAATACCTACTTCATATTTGTATGGTATTTTCTTTTTTTTTTTACCTTAAAATAGTAAACTTAATGTTTATAATTAACTAAAAAATAGATAGATAATATATCGTTTGTTTAATTCAAAGATAAAAATATTTTAATAATGATCTTTATTACATATCACACAAATCCTAAGAAAGCAGACACGTCTTGTGTGGTGTACTAGCTACAATCTACAGGTAGTTGACTCAATCATTTCGCTATGACTTATGAGATACGTGTGCCATATATAAACAAATTCGATGGTATTATTTTTTAGGCAACATTTTTTTCGAAATATAATAATACTTATATATAAACTAATTTTAGCAAGGAAAAACGATCAAAATAATATAAAATAAGCACTATATCGATATATCTCGATTTTAGTGTAGGTACGTAATATGTATAGGGTACACGAGAAAATTGGTGTTGGTGTGCTTTACTTGTTAACTAATTTGTATTGGATTGGATAAAATACTTGGTAAACTTTTGAATATGGGTCAAACTATTATCTGATATACACATTTTCAAAATAAATCCAAATAACTATCATAACAGAAATATATTAGGTACCTACTTAGTTTAGGTTAAAAGTGATTTCATTAAAAACATTTAAAATCAATTTTGATTTGAACAACATCTAAATTAAATTCACAATGCACTATTAGATTACATCAAATTGAAATTGAAAAATCTATTAATTTGAAATGGATGACCTTTAATTAAGTTAATTAATACAATAAGTTTAGAAAATAAACAAGAATTTGAAAATTGTTAAAACAAATTATCTCTCGGATTCATTAGATTTAAAAATTGTGGCTTGAGACATAATTCCAATGAGACGTTAATGACTAAGCATTGGAAATGATAAGTTTGAATTGTATTTATTATGTTTATTAAATATATCGTATTTTTAAGTATTTTTGACTCTCATTTTAAACTCATTGGACATTGTTCAGTCAGTTTTTAAGTTTTTGAAGAAAAACGTTCTAATGTCAAAGTACATAATATTTTATCTTTGAAGAAAACTATACATTTTTATTGATTCTGTTAGCGCGAGTCTATTCATCGTTCGATTTTTAATCAAAACATAATTTATTTTCAAGTTTGAAGCAAAATATTTTGTTTTTTTTTTTTTTAGAAAACGTTGATGTTAAAATTACGGTACATTCGATTGTCGAAACCACATCGATAAATTAATTTTAATTACACCAGTTGGACCTGTGTAAAGCATCTCAAACGGCCTCTCGTTAGCATATTGTAAACATCTACTTATAGGTGTGCAGAGAGAACTGATTTTGGCAGGCTGCGTCGGTTGATTGACTGATTTGATAATTGCATTCGTAGCAAATAGCTTGATTATTAAACAGTATTTATAATATTTTTCTGCAGGTTTATGTTTAATTAGTTTTATGAGAAAAAATTATAGGTTTCTCGCGCGTAAAACCATAGATCAAATTAAAAACTAAACTTAATTAGGTTGGATCTCGGAAAAAAATAAAAAAATAAAATGAATATAGAAAAAAAACATAATACATGATGTTAATCTGCTATTTAATTTTATACTCAAATAAATAATTAACCATCTTTTAAAACTTAATTAGATCTTTACTATTTTTTCAAGATATTACGTGATATTATTTTAGTGCCCATGTACCGGACTGCCCTCCTGGAATTTACAACTCACCAACTCATTAATGCACGTACTACACTATTATACGAAGAATATACGACTACCTTACACTGATCTGATAATTTTTATCCCGCGATATTAGTATTTTTTCCTCTAACGATTACGTATTTTTTTAAAGTAAGTTTAGATTTTACGAACGCGGTTAATTGTTTTTGTATTTACAATTATTGTTACCTACACATAATATCTACTACGACGGGTGTCCGTTTCTGCTACCTATATGAGATCGTAATAACCGTTTGAACAAATAATATCGTTCTATAAGGGAGAGTGTATACTGCAAACAACGGTTTTGCTTTGATACCACAGCGATATGAAACTACGTAAAATAGAAAATATTTTTAGCATCGAATCGTGACGGTTGACGAAACGATCCTGCGTAGAGTGTATAAAAAAAAAAAATCGTGAAAAATGGAAGTGTGCCGCAGATTTGTCGGAAAGTTGTAATAGGTCGCCGTCGGGTCGATCGGAGCATCCGAGTTGGGTCTTGAGTACTAGGGTTAAATCATAGGTACCTACTACATTAGTTGGGTCCGGGATTTATTTATTTAGGTACTACACTAGTTGGATCCAGGATTATTTTAAGTAAATATACAATCCAAACGAAAAAAAAAAATTGTCATTTACATTGATTATAATCAATATATTTTTAGTTATTACTTTTTTGGTATTTTTATTATTATTTCTTTGTTTAGTACCTGTATGTAATTGCCATTTACTATTAAACAAAAAATTCTAATAATTTATATTTTTAATGGCAAAAAATATAAAAAAAATAAACTGTAAAAAAACATTTTTAACCATACCTTTGGTCTAAATAGATCATAGACAGTCCTAAGTCTGTTAAAATGGGGGGAAGGAAAATTATATTATGTAGTACTCACTAAAAAAAAAAAAAAAAATTAAGGACCCAACTAGTATAGCAATTTTTAATTCGGGACACAACTCGGATGCAGCTGGGTCGACATAACAACGCGACACACGTCTGCGCGGGTTAAGTCGGGTTAGGCGCAACGGCATAAACCTATAAAGGCCGCGACGGACGAAAGTTCAAAACGCGTGCGACGGTCGCACGTAAGTATCGCTGAAACCTCTATTTCCCCCCTCCCATCCGTTCACCCAAATCGCTTACCCACACGCACCGTCACCGGAGGCGCCGATACCGGCGATACTCGATCGAGCGTGCCTATAAAATATAACAATAAGAACTACCGTTGTTTACGTGAAACGTCGTCGGAGAAGTACTGTTTGTCGTCCGCCGCGGCCGAACGCTCGCGCACGCACGCACGCACACACACACACACACACGCAAACACACACATACACACACGCAAACACACACATACACACAAACACACACACACGCAAACACACAAACACACACACACACAAACACACACACACACACACACACGCGCGGCGCGAGCACTAGCACCCCGTCTGCGTATAATACGCGCGCACACGGACACGAAAACTTGTTTGACTAGGCACGGCCGGTCACCCGCCGCCGCGCCGAGACCACTCACACGCGCGCGCGCAACCGGCAAGAATGGTACGGAGGAGAATAAAGTTGATCTCGTCTCACACCTGCTCAAGATTCCCTCCGTGTCCGATGAGCATTCAGTGTCTTCGGAGCTCCGGTTCCGTGCGTATCGTTTGATAATATCATATCACAGTCTGTACGCCGTGTGCGCGGGTTCGCGGTGCCGCCGTCGCGCGTAAAATCCATCGTTGCCGGTGCGGTTGCGTTAATATTAATAATAATAATAATAATAATAATAATAATAATGAATATAATTATATAGGTTGGTACCTCCTATTTTGATTTTTCGCCCGCCGCCGATTTTGGTTCAGTTTGTTTTAGTTTTCGTCGTCCGCCTTTGTACGCCGTATTCGTCCGCCGTTGCTTTTGAAAAAAAATAATATTAATATCTCGATAAATCAGTTCGCCTTTCGCGTTTTCCGACCGAGTGCGTTGTACCGTCAAAACAGTGCGCGTTCGTTTTGCCGGTTTGACCGACGTCATCGTGAGGTCCGCACAATCGCCGTCGCAAAGGCCGAAGGTCCCACGTCAGACTTGCGGAGGATATTTTACGCGCAGCAGGATCTGGACACAAGGTTGGTGCACTTTTCTTTTCGTATAGGTACTATCAATGTTGATCAACTGCTGTAGGTATCATAGATCTATTTGTCGCTGCATTCCGCGCGTTCGTCCGCGACTTAAACGCCGTTTTACAACGGTGAAACCCGAGCGTACGCGCTTTTCGCACCAAACGATAGTCGATCGTATAAAGTACGGGATTTCCCCAGACTGCCGAAAAAATCTGAAACCGCTACCGTGACGTTGGTATACCGATTAGCTACGATTTTCGTGGTACCGACCGGTGTGTTAGTCGTGGGGAATCCCACCAATAGAATTTGCGCGCTATACACGGCCGTTATAGGTATCTTGTTTAAGTGTCTATTAACATTATTATTACATTATAAATTAAATGTATCATAATTTGCACACGATACCTCGTGTACTCAACTACTCAACGTTTTATTGGATAAATGTGCACAATTTGTCACGACGTGGGCGAAACCCACCGCGACGTTATACGATGTATTATTTTATTATTTCTTTCTCTCTCTCTGACGTACCTATATTAGATTATATATATATATACGATACATATTATATGTAGGTACCTAGCCGGCAGCTATAACCGTGAGATACGGTCGCCGTGTGTGTCGCGTATAATAACAACTGGGTTATAATAATAATCGTCATTTGCAGAAAATAATAATAATAATAATACTTATTATTGTAAATTATTATGATAGAATAAAAAATACTACCGTTGCCGGCTCCCGGAGCACGAAAAAAAAAACCTGCCGCAGTTGTTGTAAACGCTGTCCGCTTATGTTATTGTAGGTTTATCTGGTATACATTATATGGGTATACACCGAGTCTGTGGCGTTGTGTGTCGTTGCAATACTTAATAATATTATTGTCCCGCGTAGGTTATACGTTATATGAAATATGTGAGGTTTTATTATTATTTTATTTATTTTTTTACCGTCTGAAAAATAAAACGCGTATTATATACGATACGAGTAAACAATTTTCTCGGCAGCTACTAAGTACTACACTTCACGACAATACTACTACTACTACTACTACTACTACTACTACTACTACTAATAATAATAATAATAATAACAATATTACGCGCAGCGATACCGCCATTGAGTTCGCCCACATTCCCTGACGCGCTCGTCGCCTCAATGTCCATCACATATAGGGTTCATGGGTTGCCAACCACGAATGTAATTCCGTTGCAGTGTACATAACAATATTGTCGGTGATGTTGAATTCAGTCTATGCTGCTTGTATGTGTTTTGAATTGAGTCCAGTTTATTATCTTAATATTTTTGAATTGAGTTCGTATAGATAAGATATCATAACTACCTTTGTAGCTGGTGACGACCTTGAACTTCGCACATCATATACATTTATACCGGATACGCAACGATAAGGTACATACATAATATATTTTCGTATGTTCGACAACGGTTCAGTGGTAGGTATATTTTATTCGTTCAAAATCAACCAGACGTGCCGAATACTTTGAGAACACACAATTGCTTAATACTTACACAATAATAAATTATCAAATTATTTCGAGTGAAAAATGGAGTGTATGTCGAGTGAAAAACAAAAAAACAATATTAATTACTAAATTATTGAATATTATTATGTTTTTTACATTGGCACGATTTTCTTCACTTTTCGTTCACCGTTTTTGCTAGTAGGTATAGGTACCTGTTTAAAACAACAAGTTTGTCGAAATTTTTTTCTTATTTCACTATTTCCAAGTATTCACCTGTAAATATGTAGACACAATTCTTTCACACCATTTCAGCGTCGACGGTATTCGGCCGATCTCGTATCGAAACGATTTCCGGAGGAATTCCGTTATCGAATTCGTTGTAGTTATTATTGACGTACTATTAATTTTATCCATGTTACAACGATCGTATCTATGAGTAAATACAGCCGTAACTCGATCTGTGTGGTGTAAAAAAATACACATGGTTTCGGTATGTGTCCATCCATGTATAATATTTTTTGTTTATTATAATTTTTCACCATTTCGACTTCAACCTATATTATTTTCGCTTCGATGTCTTATTGTTACTGACTCGTCGTGTTTAATAACTATATGTTTATATTTATACATATAAATATATAATATTATTTGATCATATACACTCGCATACCTATGTGGTATTATAGACGTATAAGTCAGTGGCTATTGTTGTTGACCAGCAGCAAAGTGCTCCGTCGCACAGTGTTTGCGCCGCGACCTTGGCATTAGGTAGAAATATATAAATCACTATACTTTGCTTTATTATCCAACTAATATATTGTAATATACTATTATTGTACATATAAAACACTTCGCTCACGCCGTCCTATCACTTCTTTCCGACAATTAACTGCGCAGTCTATACATATACGACAGCGACGTAGGTATCTTCGACTATGAATAAACGTTGTTGTAGGTATTACACGAATATCTAATACAATTTATTCGTGTAAAGAATAAGCTATAGTTAAAAATTAAAATAAGTGTATTTTTTTTTTTTCATGTTAATAATATTTCCCGACGAAGTATCTCTATGACTATTTAATATATATATATATATATATATGTTATCAATTAAGCTTATTTGTTTGTAACAGATTGCTCAATAATGAATTATGTTAAAGAAAAAAAAAACGTTAATAGTACTGCATTACTGTATCAATTAGAATAATTTTCAATCATAAATTCATGACATAAATTGATTAACCAGAGTTCTCATGATACCTACTTTTAAATTAATTTTCATTTTTGTTTTATTACCTTATATACGTATAAATCTGCTGCAATGACAGACAACTTACAAGTAAATTTTATAGTATTTATCGTTTTTAAATAAACTACTTTTATATTAAAATATTATAATAAAAATAATTTATCATTAACTGGTTCACTATATTTTTTCACACGTGTAACATGTAATATATAAATAAGAATATTAAGATACTTAACTATAAAGTATGCGTTGACAATTTGACATAAATGTCTCACAATTAATTTTATTTTTTTATTACCTTTGACATAAGTAGTGGTTAGACTATGCAGACTAACAATCATGGATTAATAGGTACCTATAAAATAACAATAATAGTAAATTATTAGTTATTGTTTCATAATTTTGAGTTTGAGATGTGAGCCTCAGGTGAGTCTTTTATCGAACACTAGACCAAGGTATTTTTCTTCGTTAGTATTTGGTATAATTGTATTTTCGAAAAAGAGGTCTGCGCAGTCTTCAGGTCGGAGCGCAAAGGTGACGTGAGTAGATTTTGAGTTTTTGATTTTAATTTTCCAAGATTTGAACCACTGAGATAAAATATTTAGGTAGGTTTAAAGTAGATAGGTTGCTTTGAGAGGATCGCGATTGAAAGATAGTATTGCAGTGTCGTATGCATAAGTCTCGATTAAGGTATTTTCTGTAGTCGGAATGTCTGCTGTGAAAAGCGTAGGCATATAGAAAAGGTTACTTCCTTGTGGGATACCGGCTGATATTTTATGTAAAGTGGAAAATAACGTTCCTAACTTGACTCTGAATGATCTGTCGTTTTGGTATGATTTAAGAAGAAGATAATATGGAGCTGGAAAAATCTTTTTGAGTATGTATAATAAGCCATTGTGCTAAACGGTATCGAATGCCTGTGTTACGTCTAAAAAAAGACCAGAGCTTATTCAATATTTATAAAACTTTAAAAAGATATAAATTTGTATTCAAGATACGTATTATTCTCTATAACACATATTTATTAAATTATGTTTTCTAACTGTAAACAGAATAAATTTTATTGTTCAGATAATTAAAATAATCTACATTATGTGTGTACTGTGTATACGCCAATACAGCAGTCTATTCGTAGCTCGCAGGGACCTAAACAACGGCGGCGGTGTTCTATAACCTGTCGCAATAATAATTGACTATAGCCATTGTCTTGCAATCTTGCATTGAGTAAAAAACGGTCGACGACAATCACATGACAATAATAATTGTCGTTTGACAAGGTCTCGTTGGAATAAAAATACACACAAAAGTGTGCGTAATATGCATACGCGTACCCGTATCTATGCAATATTAAACGTTTACATTAAAGTAATATACAAACCTTCGCGTGCACAATGACTGAACATTTTTAGCTTTCGTGGGAAAATTGCAGGCACCGTCACCGTTAATTAATGAAAAATGAAAATGAGCGGCGCTGCCGGCCGAGTTGTGAGTACGCGATTTATAAGGACACAATAATATAATATGATTAAAATAATAAGTAATTGTAATAAGTAAATATAATATTATATCTATGGGTATCATGATAGATGGTACCGATTATTATTACTTATAGTAATGATTTGCGCATATCGTATGTATTTACTTATGTATAATATTATGCACGTGTGTGTATATTATTATAATGTCGAAGCGATTGTCTTACAATGGCGTTTGGGTTTTCCGACGTACATACTAGTTGTGCGAGTATTCCGAATAGCTATTTATTTACACATATATGTATTATTTTTTAAGCGACAGCCCGCGATAGGTGCCCATACTTAATGAGCGTCTACCGGAGCCGTTCGCGCGTGTAATAATAACAATCACGCGACGATGGAAATGAGAGCTATTCTCTCATTGTACAATATAATAATTACAATATAATAGCCAGCGGCGGAGCTACTGCTGTGGAAAAACGGGGTAGTGGTCGTCGTCGTTAACCTATTATTAATTGTAAATTACTGGGTAATTTTTATATTATGATCGAATATAATGCGTATTTGTTGTTTAATATTTCCGAAGAGAAATCGTTTTCCGTGTGTATAATAATACTATTATAACAGTATAATAATATTATATTTATGCGTTTGTTGTGGAAACCGTTGATGTCGTTTAAAACCCCGTTCGTTTTCAGACGTTGATGTATAATATTTACGTTTATAGAGTACAACAACGGTGACCTGTGATCTAAAGAGACCGAAGACTTAAACAACGTTATTTGATAAACACAC